TAAGGTCACCGTGCACAGTGGGTGGGACCCAGTGTTCTAACAGGGATCCTAAGGTCACCGTGCACAGTGGATGGGACCCAGTGTTCTAATGGGGATCCTAAGGTCGCCGTGCACATTGGGTGGGACCTAGTGTTCTAATGGGGATCCTAAGGTCACCGTGCACATTGAGTGGGCTGGGCTGGGTCTTCCTTTGTCGTGGTGTTCTATAGTCTCATTTATTTCAAGTGTGCTTTCCCATCTGTGGTTATCTGTTTTGTTGGCTAGTCTTTTGAGATGGGGTCTCATTATGTGGCCCCAGGCTGACCTCAACCTGTGATCATCCTAGCTGAGGTTGAAAATGGTGGGCATGAGCTACCAGGCCTGCTTTTTGTCTGTCTTCCTAAGGGACACCACAGAACTGGGCAGGCATGTCTTCGGTCCTGTTTCTCTTGGGATACCTTCCTGGTTCTGAACTCTGATGTTCTATTCTCATTACGCTTTTGTTAGGTTCATTGCAGAGCATGGAGCCTCTCGTCTTCTGGATCATGTGGGCCAACTAGATAAAGTATTCAAGATTCCTCCGCTCCCAGGAAAGACACAGACCTTAGCTCTCCGGCCCCTGGAGGAGGACATCCCAGGCCCCTTGGGCCCTATTTCCCAGCATGGGTCAGTCAAGGTTCTGTGTCCTTGTGAACTGGGAGGGTGGCCATCAACACCTGGAGAAATACTGTGACTGCCGCTCTCTTTGCTAAGGTGGCATTTGCTGTGTTTGCTAAGGACGGTAATTGTTCTCCTCCCCAGGTAGGGGCTTCCTGGAAACTGTCAGATTGGGAACTGCTCCTTGCTTTACTAGAAAAAAAGCAAGGTTTGAATGCACAGAAGGCAGCAGACTCCAGGGCTTTAGAACACAGGCTCTGGCATTTCACACGGACTTTGCCAAACGATAGCTTAGACAGGTTGTTTAATTCCTTAAAGATGTAGTTAAGGATAAGGTTAAAGTTTGCCTTCAAGTATTGCATTGGTCAAGTAGTGACTTTGGAGTAATGGTTTCTGAAGAAAGAGGACCATCAGAGACGTGGCGAGTGGGGCTCAAATCGCAGGTATTTGAGTTGATTCCACAGCGAGGTTATTCTCTGGAGCCCTGTAAGGCAGTCACCCTTCTGCTGTCTGTCGTGGGGTTTGTGTCAAGCGCAGAAGGGTGATTACGCTTTTATGGCCCTGGACTTGAGGTGGGGACTGGTCCCTAGGTCGAGCCCAATCCTCCCCATTCCCCCAGGTGGCGCAACATCCGGCTTTTCATTTCATCCACTTTCCGTGACATGCATGGGGAGCGAGACCTGCTGATGAGGTCTGTGCTGCCAGCACTGCAGGCCCGAGCCTTCCCCCACCGCATCATTCTCCATGCCATTGACCTGCGCTGGGGTGTCACTGAGGAAGAGACCCGGAGGAACAGGTACCGGGCCACAGGGAAGAGGGGCTGGGTCAGGGATGAGAGGGCCGAGCGTGAACTCAAGTCATCATGGTGGGACTGCAAGAACAAGCTTTGCCCTTTACACACCAGCAAGAGTTGGTCTCCACTTTGCCTGTATGCGTCAGGGCCCTTCCTCCTCCGTATTTTTGCCTGGATTGCTTGGAACTGCACCCAGTGACTCCTTCCTGTCCCCGTAATCATGCCTACAGACAACTGGAAGTGTGCCTTGGGGAGGTGGAGAACTCGCAGCTGTTTGTGGGGATTCTGGGCTCCCGCTATGGCTACATCCCCCCCAGCTATGACCTACCTGACCATCCACACTTCCACTGGGTAAGACAGACGAGGTTGGAGTGGCTGGGGAAGAAACAAGTCGGGGAAAGTCAGCTTGACAGGGACCTTGGAGTGATGTACCAATGGTTCCTTGAGTCTTGAAGTGAAACACAGGCAGAAGACGCTACAAGGCCGTAGTCTAGATGAAGCAGTTTCTTTGGGAAGGAGCTTTGGCCTGGGTTCTCAGAGGGTCTTCTTAGCTTTTGTTTTCAGACAGGTCTGATTCTGCCTTCCCTTTGGACATTTGTAGGTTGTGTAACTTTTTAGAAACAGAGTGATCTAAATTAGTCTCAGCTTCAGCACATTAAATAGAAACAATATCTACATTTCAATGTTACTATTAGAATTTTATTTAGCTGGGTGTAGTTATGGATGCCCGAGATTGGGTAGACAGGTCAGGAGTTCCAGGCCATCCTGGACAACCAAGTGCCCTTATCTCACAATATAATGAAAAATGTCAGGGAAGCAGAACGTGGTGGTGCATGCCTTCAATTCCAGCACCAGGGAGTCAGAGGAAGGGTCTCTGCGAGTTCAAGGCCAGCCTGGTCTGTAGAGTGAGTTTCAGGCCAGCCAGAGTCACATAGTGAGACCCCGCCCCCCCCTCACACACACACACACACACACACATACACACACCATCTGGGAATATAGCTTAGTGGTAGAGTACTTGCCTACCATATGTAAGATTCTGAATTCAGTCTCCAACAGGAAGGGGAAAATGTACTTTAAAAAACCCAGAATATGTTAATCCCTTTGGTAACTGTTAGCTGATAACTACATTTTACTGCCTGTGTCTGCGGGAAGGACACAGGTTTCCTGAGATCTGAAGGCTTCCAGGGACGGATTGACCCTTGAGGCTGACCCTGCCCATGTCTTCCTTCTTCATGTAGGCCCAGCAGTACCCCTCAGGGCGTTCTGTGACAGAGATGGAGGTGATGCAGTTCCTGAATCGTAGCCGACGCTTGCAGCCCTCTGCTGAAACTCTCATCTACTTCCGAGACCCTGGATTCCTCAGGTACCTGCTCTTGCTACCCAGCCAAATTTCCCTTCACAGAGAGCCGGGCAGACTCAGTCCTCGGTCCCCAGCACCCGGTGCTGAAAGATGAGAGTTTGTCTCTGCCACTTCAAGTCAGACCTCAAACTGAGGGCAGACTTTCGGGGAGCCAGAGCCTTATCTCCTGGCTGGCTCGGGAGGCTAGGCTCTGAGTCCGGCCCCACCCCTGGGGTGTCTTTGGTGGTCAGCTCTGTGCCAGATGCCTGGAAACCTGACTTTATTTCTGAGTCGGAAGAGATGGCACATCGGGTCTCAGAACTGAGGAGGTACCTGCACGAACAGAAAGATGTTACCTGTCGCAGGTGAGCTGAGGGGTGGAGGCACCTATCCAGGTGAGGTGGAATAGGCGAGCCAGGCCTCCTCTGACTGTTTATGTTTGCTTTGCCTACAGGTATTCCTGTGAATGGGGAGGTGTAGCTGCTGGCCGGCCCTATACTGGGGGCTTGGAGGAGTTTGGACGGCTGGTACTCCAGGATGTGTGGAACGTGATCCAAAAGCTTTACCTGCAGGTCAGCAGGCGTACCCATCACAGGGGAGCCAGCGTGGTCGTTCTGGGTGGGAAGCAAGCAGGTGGAGGGTGGGCTGTAGGGTAGGAGACCCTGAACAACATGAAAACATACCTGGTACCCTGTGACCCTCAGCTTGGGGCCCAGCTGGAACAGCCGGAATCCATCTCAGATGATGACTTGATTCAGGCCAGCTTTCAGCAGCTGAAGAAGCCACTCAGCCCTCTGCGGCCACGCCTTCTTCAGGATATGGTGCAGCAGCTGATGCTGCCCCGTGGGAGGCTGAGTCTGCTGACTGGGCAGGCAGGACAAGGAAAGACTGCCTTCCTGGTATGCATGCAGGAGGAAGGGCTGCAGAGCTGAGGGGGCGGGGCCGGGAGACTGTGTGCATGCTAAAATGTAAACGTGGTTTGTTCTGCCCCATGCAGGCGTCCCTGGTGTCAGCGCTGCAGGCTCCCCAGCAGCCCAACGTGCCCCCCTTGGTTTTCTTCCACTTTTCAGCAGCCCGCCCCGACCAGTGTCTTGCTCTCAACCTTCTCAGACGCCTCTGTACCTATCTACATCGAAAATTGCAAGAGCCAAGTGCCCTCCCCAGTTCTTACAGGTGTGCACCCAGAGATCAGTAGGCTCTGCTGCCTTCCCTACTTCCCCATCTCTGACCTGATCTCCTCACCCACAGAGGCCTGGTGTGGGAACTGCAGCAAAGGCTGCTCCTCAAATCTGCTCAGTCCCTGAAACCTGGCCAGACCTTGGTCCTGATTATCGACGGGGCGGATAAGTTGGTGGGTCAGAATGGACAGCTGACTTCAGACTGGGTCCCCAAGTCCCTTCCCCGGGTGAGTGTGAGGCGGGGCTGAGGAAGGAAGTTGGAGAGGAGGGTGCAGTGGAGGTGCAGGGAGAGGGACCTCGCTAAGGCCGCTCCTTTCTCTTCCCTTATGCACGTGTCCCAGCGAGTGCACCTGGTGCTGAGTGTGTCTGCTGACTCAGGCCTGGGAGAGACGCTGCAGCAGAGTCAGGATGCCTCAGTGGTGGCCTTGGGGCCTTTGGTGCCATCTTCGAGGGCTCAGTTTGTGAGAGAAGAGCTGGCACTGTATGGGAAACGGCTGGAGGAGTCACCTTTTAACAACCAGGTTGGACCCAGACCACAACTGGAGGGGATGTAGGGTGAATTGGGGCGCCACAAGGGTACAGCTGCTTCGCTGGGGCTGCTCTGTAGGTTTCTCCAGACCTCTCTGCCAGGGGAAATTCTGATTCCTCCTAAGACCACCCAGACTTTTCCATGGTGGACAGTCTCCCTGAGGAGGGTGAGTGGAATCATGGCTAAGGTGGGTGAGGCTGAGCGGTGGAAGTTTTTCTGACAGGATCTGGCTGGGAAGTAGGAACAGGGCTGTGTTTTGGGGTCATGCTATGTGCTCATCCCTTAATTAGACTCTCCGGGGAGGCGCCACTTGGCAGTAAGCTTGGTGCTGTAGCAGAGGCAAGCTATGGTAGACTTCCCTAGTCCCCGTGCTGAATCCTCCGGTTCTCGCCAGATGCGGCTGCTGCTGGTAAAGCGGGGGTCAGGCCTGCCACTGTACTTGCACCTCGTCACTGACTACCTGAGGCTCTTCACCCTCTACGAGCAGGTTGGTCGTTCCTGTGCACGACGTGCTGGCATATTTCCCACTGCTGTTAGCCTCCTCGGACTGCATTCCGCATGCCTGTCTGTCCTAGACTCTTTTCCGCTGCTACAATAAAACACCCTGACACAAAAACCTTAGGAAGGAAGAGTTTATTTGGCTCACATTTTGGGTATATAGTCCCTTGTCGCAGGGTTGCCGTAGTGGCGGGAGCTTGGGGCAGCTGGTCACATTGCACCTGCAGTCAAGAGGCAAAGAGCTATAAATGCTTGTTTTCAACACAGTTTCGCTTTTTAATACACTGCAGGATATCAGCCAAGGGAATGGTGCTACCCACAGTAGGTAGGTCTTCCTACCTCAAGTTCTCAGGACATGATCAGAATGAAACCCGATTCTTGGCTAAAATAATCACGCAAATAGGCCCTATCCAGGCTCCTGATAAAGTCCTGTTATTCTTTGAAACTCTGGAATCACTTTCCTTTTGCTGTGAGAAAACGCTGGCAAAGGCATTTACACCCTCACTTAATGGTGTAAGGATTTCTTCTGTCTCACAGTTCCTGGGTGTAGCCCATCATGGCCGGGAAGCCATGAGGAGCTGGAAGCAGGAAACAGGAGGATGAATGCATGCCACTGCTTAGCTTCCGTACTTTACAAAAGTGTTAGATTTGTTCATTTTATTTTACATGTGAATGCCTGACTTCTCCGTGTACTGTGTGCAGGCTTGGTGCCCGCAGAGGTCAAAGGAGGGCATCCGATCCTCTGCAACTAGAATTACTGATGGTTGTGGGTCTGGGAATGAAACCCCCGGTCCTCTAACTGCTGAGCCATCCCTCCACGCCCTCCCACAACAGGTCTTCCCACCTGAAGGCGGGTCTTCTGTTTCCCCCAGGTGTCTGAGAGGCTGCGAACGCTGCCCGCCACCCTGCCACTGCTGCTGCAGCACATCCTGAGTACCTTGGAGCAAGAGCATGGCCTGGATGTCCTTCCTCGAGCTCTGGCTGCCCTTGACGCCACACGGAGTGGTCAGTGGGGAGAAGTGTGGGATCTTAGTCAGAGGTGTCCAGAGGGGTCGTGTATGATGCAGGTGGATTCCCTGTGTGGTGTGGTCATCAGAGAGTTTATGGTTTCAGGTCTGACTGTGGACCAGCTGCATTCAGTGCTGAGCACATGGTTGGTTTTGCCCAAAGAGACAAAGAACTGGGAAGAAGCAGTGGCTGCTGGTCAAAATGAAAACCCTTACCCTTTGAGTCCATTTGCCTACCTTGTCCAGAGCCTACGAAGGTAATGCTGCCTCAGCTGAGCTCCCACCAGCCTCATCGCCTCTCAAGTTAGGACATCTTATGGATGTCAACATTTGCTTCCCAGGTTCCTGAACGCTGCTCATATGGTTCCCGCTCTGCCGTGGGAATGCCAGTGAGCTCACTGAGTGACTGTTTCTCCTCCCTTACTTTTCTCCCCTCTTCTCTCGAGGACAGTTTACTAGGGGAGGGCCCTGTGGAGCGCCCTGGTGCCCGTCTCTGCCTCTCTGATGGGCCTCTGAGGACAGCAGTTAAACGTCGCTATGGGAAAAGGCTGGCGCTAGACAAGACTGCACATGTCGTCATTGCAGGTGATTGCAGCCCAGATCAGCATGGGCGGGACCTGGAGGTCAGGGTCACATGCTGGCCGCTGTGCTGTAGCCTAGGACCTAGGAGATGCTAGGGATAAGCCTTTCTCTACGTCTGTTCTTGCAGCTCACCTCTGGAAGATGTGTGATCCTGATGCCTCCGGCACTTTCCGAAGTTGCCCTCCCGAGGCTCTGAAAGATTTACCTTACCATCTGGTTAGTCCTTGGTCCACACGTCTTCTTGGGCCATTCTTCATTCCTCTTCCCGTTCTGACCAGTCCCGCCGGTCTTCTTACAGACTCCTCTACCTTCTTCGAGTTTTCCTGCCTTCCCTGCTGTGTCTCTGCCCTGCTTGCATAGGCTTGCTCGAACACTGGCCTATTCCTCCTCACCAGCTCTTTCATTTAATGAACCCAATATGTTCTCTCCAGCTACAGAGTGGGAACCACGCTCTCCTTGCAAAGTTTCTCAGCAATCTCCACGTGGTAGCTGCATATCTGGAAACGGGTCTAGTCTCTGACCTCTTGGAGGCGCATGTGCTCTATGGTGAGATAAGTCATGGGTGTTTGGGATACCCTGCTCAAGGGTAGGCGGGGAACAAGCATAGCCAGATCTCATTCCAGTGTGAAAATGCCACAGGTGTAAGCACAGCCTCCTAGTGGACCCTTTTGCTTAGACCTCTTAGGCATACTGAACAGTGAATTATCTAGGAAGTTGGTTAAAATTGCAGATTTTGAGGTCACAAGATTCCACCTCTCTAGTTCTGCAGTGAGGCCCAGAGCTTTATGCTTTGAATAGGTGTTTCTGATGTGATGTTCAGAGGGTCACACTTCAAGACTTTTAAATTGTGAATTTTTAATACACAATATAATTTTACTTGGTGCTGAGGTTAATGGAGTCTAGGCTAGTTTCCTAATGACACTGTGCTTCTTTCTGACCTCCACTCCCTCAGTGTGTGTGTGTGTGTGTGTGTGTGTGTTTACATGTAAGTGTGTATTTGTGTGTGTATGTGCGTGAGCATGTGTATGAATGTGTGTGCATGTGTGTTTGTGGGTGTTTGTATGTGTATGTGTGTGTATGTAAATATGTGTATGAGTGTATGTGTTTATGTGTATGAGTTGTGTGTGTGTTTATGTGTATGTGAGTATGTGTGTAAGTATGTGTGTTTGTGTGTATATGTGAGGGTGTGTGGGAATACGGCACACAGCCTCATATAGAGGCTAGAGTTGCTTGCTGTTGGTTGTAGTCTGTTTCTCTCCACCTTACTCCGTTAAAGTGGGGTCTCTCACTGAATCTGGAACTCACTTTTTTTGGTAGACTGATGGCCAATGAGGTCCAGCGGTTCTTCTGTTTTCTAGCCCGACCCCCAGCACTGGTTACAAGTGCATGTGGCATTTCTGACTTTTTATTTAGGTGTTGAGATCTGAACTCAGGTCTGCCTGTTTGTACAGCAAGCTCCCCAGCCCTCTGAGTCATCTCCTCTTTTAAAGCAGCTTCTTCAACATCTGAAGTGAACCCAAAGCCCCTGGAGGCGGATGTCGCTGTGTTCCATACCTTCCTGAGACAGCAGGCTTCGCTGCTTGCCCAGTATCCTCTGCTCCTGCATCAGCAGGCAGCCAACCAGCCTGTAGAGTCACCTGTTTGCCGCCAGGCCCCCCTGCTCACCCAGCGATGGCACCTCCAGTGCATGCTGCGGTGGGTTAATAAACCCCAGACCTCGGACAGCCAGCAGAGGTAGGCCAGACTAGAGCCGCCACGGAGCTGACTTGGGCAAAGGACTGCAGACCCCAATTCCCACTGACTTCCCCCACTTCCTCTTCTTGTTTTCTTTCTCCCTCTCTAGCTTGTCTCTGGCAATTTCCTCCCCAACCGCGGTGGCCTTGTCCCCTAATGGGCAACGAGCAGCCGTGGGCACTGCCAGTGGGACAATTTACCTGCTGGACCTGAGAACCTGGCAGGTATGATCCAGAACACCCTCACATACTGCGCTGAAGGTCTAGGCAAGCTGAGCTATCCTTAAAACCCTGCTTCATTCAGCAACACCATTCACCTCCTAATTGTCTAATGTCAAATTAGACATCCTGGTCACAGGATCATTCAGTAGCTGGGTGTGGCGGCTCACATATGCAACCCCAGCATCAGGGAGACTGAGCCAGGGGGACTGCAAGCTCAGTGCCAACCTGGGCTGTCCATTAAGTTCAAGGCCAACTGGGATTGATTGCATAGAACAAAATGAAACTCCGACAGCAGATATGACTGTGGGCCACTACTGTCCGGTTTCCACTCAGGCACTCTGTTTCGTATTTTGAGGAACACATATTTTGAGGCTCATAATAAGATGCCTGTGAGTTGTGTAGATAGAGGAGGGCCTTGGATGGAAAAAGGCTGTCCTTATGACTTGTCCAGGAGCCTTGCAAAAGACACAGGAGAGAATGTTTCTATAAACCGCTGTGAATGACTGCAGTAGCTGGCAATACCAGGCTAGGGAGGGGAGACACAGCCACAACCTATCTCTTCTTAGCCACACCACCTTCACCTTTGCACAGGTGATACACACACACACACACACACACACACACACACACACACACGCAGTGAGAAAAGGTGACCCAGCTTTGATTCTGAGGTACCTTGTACCTGTGTTTGGGCTGGGAGTGTAGACAGCCATGCCCTTTTGCCTTGGCCTCCTTTGCGTGGTGGGGGCCGGGAATGGGTTGGTCCTGGAGGACGAGGGGATCCCCTGAGCCACACTCCCCAACTGGCCGTTGCAGGAGGAGAAGGCGCTGGTGAGCGGTTGTGATGGGGTCTCCTCTTTTGCGTTCCTCTCGGACAGCGCCCTTTTCCTCACCACCTTTGATGGGCTCCTCGAGCTCTGGGACCTGCAGCACGGCTGCTGGTAAGTGCTCCCCTCCTGATAAGTGCTCCCCTCCTGATAAGTGCTCCCCTCCTGGTAAGTGTTCCCCTCATGGTAAGTGCTCCCCTCCTGGTAAGTGCTCCCCTCCTGATAAGTGCTCCCCTCCTGGTAAGTGCTCCCCTCGCGTCAGATCGCAGCGAGGACGGAGCCTAGTGGCCAGGTGACCCAGGACCCTGACTTTGTCTCCCTGGGACAGGGTGTCCCAGTCCAAGGCCCACCAGCACCAAGTCACTGGCTGCTGCCTGAGCCCAGACCGACGCCTGCTGGCCACCGTGTGTTTGGGAGGTATCCTAAAGGTAACAAAAAGTAACCCTAAACCATGACAGAACTGCTGACTGCCTGTCCTGGGGAAGCTTGCTGAGGCAGGGGACTGGATAAGGTAACTCTCAGGAGCTCTGGGTCTGAGAAACTCTGCCCTTGGTACCCAACATCCCGATTCCTCTTTTCTTCTCCAGCTGTGGGACACAGTCCGTGGACAGCTGGCTTTCCAGCACACTGGTCCCAAGTCCCTGAACTGCGTTGCCTTCCACCCAGAGGGGCAGGTGGTAGCCACAGGCAATTGGGCTGGCAGAATTACCTTCTTCCAGGCAGATGGACTCAAAGTCATCCAGGTAAGAAGGTCCTGAGTAGCTCCTGGGGAGAGCATGCAGGACAGGAGCGAAAGTGGAAGCAACAACTGCGCCCCGTGTTGTGTTGAGCCGTGCTGAGCACAGGCCCTGTTGTTTCTGTTTCTGCTCCGCCCCCCCTCCCCCCAGGAACTAGGAGCCCCGGGAGCCTCTGTCCGAAGTCTGGCATTCAGTGCACCTGGGAAGTCTGTGGCTGCAGGCCGGATAGATGGGATGGTGGAGCTGTGGGCCTGGCAAGAGGGGGCACGGCTGGCGGCCTTCCCTGCTCACAGTGGCTGTGTTGCTGCTCTTCTTTTCCTGCATGCTGGAGGCCGGTTCCTGACGGCTGGAGAAGATGGCAAGGTGAGCTTACAGAGGGCCTGTGGTAGGTTCAGGGGAGCAGCAAAAGCAGGGGTGTATTCATGTGATGCTGGCCGCCTCTGCTGAGGATCCTGGGGGAGTCTGGGTGGTGACATAAGGATGGGGACCAGGCGGCAGAGTGGAGTCTCTTTAAACTCTTTTCTGGCATCCTAGGCTCAGTTATGGTCAGGATTTCTTGGCCGCCCCAGGGGTTGCCTGGGCTCTCTTCCTTTGTCTCCTGCACTCTCTGTGGCTCTCAACCCAGACGGTGACCAGGTGGCTGTTGGGTACCGAGAAGACGGTATTAAAATCTACAACATTTCTTCAGGTATCAGAGGGGTGGGGGTGAGGATGGGTTTGCACCCTTGGAGAGCAGGTACCTGCCACCTCACTTCTTTTCTCAAATGTCAGTTTTTCGTGTGCTCTTTCCTTTTCTAGGTTCCCAGGAGACTCCGTGTCAAGCACTAAATGTAGCAGTGTCGGCACTGATCTGGCTGAGTCCCAGCGTGCTGGTGACCGGTTCAGAAGATGGCTCCCTGTGTGGCTGGGTGGTCAAGGGACACTCTCTTCATTCCCTGTGGATGGCATCCCGACACCAGAAACCTGTGCGTGGACTGGCCACCTCTCAGGAGCTCTTGACTTCCGCCTCAGGTACACTGAGCAGTGTTATCGAATCATTTCTTTGAAATATGCTGGTGTCACCCTTCAGTGTGTAATCAGTTACACATGCTCATCCAAATCCGTGCACAGGCGGTTCTTATTCACAACTTTTACAATGCTTTTGAGTGTGTTCTTCCTACACAATTATTCTAGATTGTTTCTAGAAAGAGTAGAGAACAGGAGAGGAAGTGCAGGATTGGTCCTCTAGAAGTGAGAGATTTGAACCTCAAAGATTGTGAGGTGAAGGCAACAGCGAGGCCTTGAGAAACGTAGCTCCTGTAGCAGCTGCTGTGGGAAGTGTGGCAGGAAGCTGGTACAAGAAGCCACATTCCTGCCTGAGTCTGCCATGCAGGAGCCAGGGAGCAGGACCTGTGCACATCCTGGGGGCTGTCTTCTTGGCTGCTGTGCTCTGCTCCCATGGCTTCCGTTGGCCTCCTAGGCCGGTCTTGCTTTGGTTTTCAGGACACACTTCCCTTTCTGTTTCCAACGCAGAGGACTTCACAGTGCGGCTGTGGCCCAGGCGGCTGCTGACACAGCCACATGGGGCAGAAGACTTTCCCTGTGCTGCTGAGCTCCGGGGACATGAGGGCCCAGTGTGTTGCTGTAGCTTCAGCCCTGATGGCAGCGTTTTGGCTACTGCGGGCAGGGATCGGGTGAGCTGCAGAAGGATGGAACCCTGGGGTACCACAGACACTCTGCTCCTAGATTGTTTTTTTAAGCAATTTCTCATCACTTTCTCCTACTGTTGGATCTGACAGGTCTGCAGGTGGGTCTACCTGCATGCCTCACGTTTTTCTTTTCTTTAACATTTCCTGCTTGAAACCAGATGTGGTAGCACCGACCTTAATCTCAGTACTTAGAAGATGAAGGCAGGAGGATCAGAAATTCATTGATCATTAGCCAGGGCCAGCTTAGGACAATGAGACTCAGTCAAAAGCCAAACCACCACCATATCTGAAGTGGTTTCGGCACTGCTCCAGTCTGGGTCCTTATGGATCCCTGTCCTTGCCTACCCAGAATCTTCTCTGCTGGGACGTGAAGACAGCCCAAGCCCCTCTTCTGATTCACTCCTTCTCTTCCTGTCACCGTGACTGGATCACTGGCTGTGCGTGGACCAAGGACAAAGTGCTGGTGAGTGAGGGGTGGGTGAGAAGACGCAGAGCCCAGCAAACAACCAGGAGGAAAACCATCTTCGTTCACGCTCTCGGTAGCATCTGTGCATTGTCCCGCTAATGTCTTTTGGGCACACAGTATTTGCTGGGTTTGACACGAGCTCAATCTTACTGTTTACCGTGATGGCTCTTTACAGTGCCTTGTAAAGTGGTCACTACTTTGTCTTCTTTGCAGATAAGAAAATTGACCCCAGAAAAGCATTTCTAAGGTCGTATCAGTGATGAAGCTGAGCCAATAAGCGTTCTTCCTTGTTTTAATTCTTTACACTGTTGTGTGCATGTGTTTATATGTGTGTGGGCGTGCCACGGTGCCACAGTGTGTACCTGGAGGTCAACAGCAGCCTGCAGTAGTCAGTGCTCCTTTCACACATGGGTTCTAGGACCTGAGCTGCGGTTTCTCAGGCGTGGTGGCACCCTTACCTGCTGAGCCATCCCACCATCCCTTTGCCTTTGGCGTTGGATACTGAACCCAATGCCTTTTGCCCACCAGGCAGGTGCTCTGCCATCTAGCCACATCCCTCTAGCCCATGCCTTTTTTATTTTAAGGTTTAAATCTTTTAAACTTTATTTTTAGTATGTACGTATCTGTGTGTGTTTGTGCACGGGAGTGCCGTGCCTGTGCAGTCACAGGTCACCGTGAGCTGCCTGATGTGGGTGCTGAGGAGTGAATTTCTGCCCTCTAAAACAGCAGTTTTGCAATTGGAGCCGTCTCCAGCCCCAAAGCCCACGTTCCCAGCAAGAACACAGTAATGTCTCTCTAGCCTGAGGGTGAAAGATTGATTTAGAGATCTCAGAGTATCTTCTTAGGGTTTGTAAAATACATTTCCCTATGTAGAATACTTATGTTGTTTTATTTTTAAATATGTAATTTATTTTATGTTCATTGTTGTTTTGTCTGCATGTGTGACTGCACGAGGGTGTCAGAAACCCTGGACTTGTGGACAGGCGTGAGCTGCTGTGGGGGTGCTGGGACTTGAACCGGGCTCTCTGGAAGAGCGGCCGTTAACCCCTGAGCCATTCCTCTAGCCCTAGTGAGGCACACAACAGAACGCCAGGGGAATGCTGATGGTCTTGCTTCCTTCACTTTTGACTGCAGGTCTCCTGCTCTAGTGATGGCTGTGTGGGACTCTGGGATCCAGAGTCAGGACAGCAGCTTGGTCAGTTCCTGGGTCACCAGAGTGCCGTGAGCTCTGTGGTTGCTGTGGTAAGGCAATGGACTCCACCTCTGGGAAGGGCAGGAGAGTCTGGGAGACTGGATGCATTAGGTGTCTGCTCTCAAAGGCGAATAGTAAGGCTGTGGTACTTGGACTGTGCTTCAGCACTGAGTCTGATGTGATGGGTGCCACAGAAAATTGTGAATTTCTGGCAAGATTGCAGTACTGGGTCACTTGGCACCATAATTCTGAGTCCCTCATCCTTCTACATCTCCCAAGTCCGTGATGTTTGTCTTCCCCTCTTTGGAGGGAAGTAGCGTCTTGACCAGGTGTTTTCTAGGTTCTTAATCAGGAATTAAAAGCACATGGGCTGGAGATATGTCTCAGTAGCTAAGAGCACTTCCTAAAGACCTGAGTTCAATTCTCAGCACCCATGTCAGGCAGCTCACAGCTGCCTGGATCTCCAGCTCCATGGAGATCTGAAGCCTCTACTCTCCCCCTGGGCACCTCTACTCTCATGCGCATGCCTGCGCGCGCGTGCGCGCGCGCGCACACACACACACACACACACACACACACGCACGCACGCACACACACATACGAACACATGCACACACACGAACGCACTTGCACACATGAACACATACATACACATACAGGAACACACACTCATGCCCACTCACACGTGCACACACATGTTTAATTTTTTTTTTTAATTTTAAAGCACACACAGATTGTGAGGGCAGAGAGATAACATTATTCAAATCAAAGCAATAGCCCATCAACAAGGCCAGCAGACCACATAAGTGAAAGAATACCCAAAGGCCCGGGTTGTTGGTTAGGGCTTCTTGGATGAGGTCTGAAGGAAGGAGTTTGATTACTAGGGGTTACTAAGGGTCGAGGGAATCGTTTGCATGGTCTCTATTTCTGTCCACAGACTTGTATTAAAGAAGCTTTCTGCTCTCTGCACAGGCCTTCTACCACAATGCATCTACTTTTTAATTTCATGTATATCAAATAGGGACACAATTTGCTTTATTGCACACGCATCTAAAACCAGTTCAGGCCAGATCATAGTCCATATGATCTTTCCAGAGGGAAGAGAGGATATGATTGGATGGAAACCTGTCCAGTTTGATGCATGTTAGGAGAAAGAGAAATTTATTCCATTGTTCAAAGTAGGAGTGTGTGCAGAGCTGTGCAGGTTGGGGGCTTAGGTTGCTGATGGATTGTTGGGTGGGTTGTTTGTAGAGGGGGTATGCACGGCACATGCAGGTCAGGGTCCCAGGCTGCCAGATGAATTAGCGTGAGACATGGTGTTCATACTCCAGACGAGTGCAGTCCAAGACTGCTAAACTCTTCCCTCTGTTTGCCTTCCTGTCTCCCACCTCCCGCACACCACGACTGTCCTCTGACACTGTGATCCTGGGACAGGAGGAACACATAGTATCTGTGAGCCGGGATGGGACCTTGAAAGTGTGGGACCGCCAGGGCGTGGAGCTGACAAGCATCCCTGCTCACTCGGGACCCATCAGCCAGTGCGCAGCTGCTCTGGAGCCCCGCCCAGGTATTGGTCCCTCAGCACCTTCCCCTTCCCTGCTGCTGATCCCTCAGTCCTTCCCCTTCCCTGCTACTACCATTTTTGTTTTGTTTCCTTCTCCTTTTCTACACGGGCACTCTATTTCAAACCTTTACCTCTGGGCCTGGTCTTCTCCTCCTGAGTTGGTTTCTCTGTCTTTCCAGCTGGACAGCCTGGATCGGAGCTTCTGGTGGTGACAGTTGGACTGGATGGGGCCACAAAGTTGTGGCATCCCCTCTTGGTGAGTTCTTTGTAAGAACTGCGGTAGGGAAGAGATAGAGAAGGCATTCAGGACAACCTCTGCAACCCCCTTTCTCCTAGGTGTGCCAAATCCGCACCCTCCAGGGACACAGTGGTCCAGTCATGGCAGCTGCTGCTTCTGAGGCCTCAGGCCTCCTGCTGACCTCAGATAATAGCTCTGTCCAGCTCTGGCAAATCCCTGAGGAAGCCGGTAAGTGAGGGGCCAAGAAGGTAGCGTGAAAGAAGCCTGCAACAAAGGATGCCAAGGGCAGCCTACTACCTCTTTATCCCTTCCAGTAGCCCAGATATTTCTTCCCTTCCTTCTGAGACCAGGCCTCACTTTGTAGTCTTGGCTAGCCTGGACCAGGCTGGTTTTAGACTCACAGAGATCTGCCTGCCTCTGTATTCCCAGAAATGGGATTAAGGGTGTGCGCCACTACTCCTAGGTCAGTAGCAGAGCTCTTTTTTCATTTTTCATTTTTTCATTTTTCATTTTTTCATTTTACATACTGATCCCAGTTCCCACTCCCTCCCCTCTTCCCATTCCTACTACCTACCCTCCCCCACCCTTAGCCACTTCTCAGAGAGGGTAAGGCACACTGCTTTGAGGAAGGTCCAAGGCCCTCCCTACTATATCTAGGCTGAGCAAGGTATCCATCCAAAGAGAATGGGTTTCCAAAAAGCCAGCACGAGAGTAGGGATAAATCCTGGCTCCATTGCCAGTGGCCCCTCAATTTGCCCCAGCCATGCAACTGTCACCCACATTCAGAGGGACTAGTTTGGCCCTATGCTGTTTCCTTCTTGTTGGACTGAAGTTGGTGAGATCCCATTAGCTCAGGTAAACTGTTTCAGTGGGTGTCCCCATCATGGTCTTGACCTCTTTGCTCACATTCTCCCTCCTCCCACTCTTCAACTGGACTTTGGGAGCTCAGCCCAGTGCTCCACTGTGGGTCTCTGCATCTGCTTCCATCAGTTGCTGGATTAAGGTTCTACAGTGATATTTAAGATATTCATCAATCTGACTACAGGGCCAGGTCTGTTCGGGCACCCTCTCCTCTATTGCTTAGGGTCTTAGCTGGAATATCCCTTCCTTTCTTCACCAGATGATACGTACAAACCTAGGAGTTCTGTGGCCATCACGGCTGTGGCATGGGCACCAGACGGTTCTCTGGCAGTGTCTGGAAATGAAGCAGGGGAGCTGATACTGTGGCAGGAAGCCAGAGCTGTGGCTACAGCACAGGTGCCCGAGTCTGGGTGAATCCTGTACATTTTAAATTCTGTGTGTTTAATGGAACTTCTGTGGGTTAGAATCTTGCTTGCACACCTGGGAGGAGAAAGGTTTATGTTTTTTTCCTCAAAGGAACTGAACTGAACTTGCTTCCTACACAGGCTCCAGGCCGTATCAGTCATGTGATCTGGTACTCGGCACATTCATTCTTTGTTCTCAGTAATAATGAAAAGGTCAGCGAGTGGCAAGTGGACCCCATGGGAGGCTCAGCGTTCAGGAATCCCAGGTGAGAGAAGCAGCCGCTGACGGGAATGCTGAGCTACGCATGCCTAGGGTTTTGTTGTGATCTGTCTGTGCTTTGGGGGCACTGGTAGGATGTCAGCTGCCCCTGCTTTATCAGTTGTTTTCAGATCATTCTTTGATCTTTGTGTGTCTGTGTGACAAGGAATTGGATGTGTGGGGCAGCTAAGTCATTTTGCTTTATGCTACTTTGAGAGTGATACCCTGTGAAAATGGAGGAGTCTGAGGTGGATTAGCTAAAGTAGTGCCTCCCTCTGTGTGCTTGTCTTTGTAGTCTTCACCTGTGTGTGCCTAGGTCAGAGAATGACCTGAGGGAATTGGCTCTCCCTCCAGCAACGAGTGGGCTCTGGGAATCAAGCTAAGGTCATCAGGCTCATTGGCAAGTGTCTTCCTACTGAGCCCTCTCACAGCCTCTGGTCTTCAGTTTAAAGACAGGGTTTCTCTATGTAATAACCCTAGTGGTCCTGGGATTCTAGACTGGCCTCAGACTCACAAAGATCCACCTGCCTCTTCCTCTCAAGTGCTGGGATTAAATAAGGTGTGTGCCACCACTGCCCAGCTAAATTAGTAATTCTTAAATGCCTACCTGGTGTCAAGTTCTGGACCAGAGCATGTGGTACACATTAATTGTTTTTATTTATTAATTTGGGGTTTTGTTTTGTTTTTTGAGACAGGGTTTCTCTATATTGCTTTGGAACCTGTCCTGGCTCTGTAGACCAGGCTGGCCTCGAACTCACAGAGATCCGCCTGCCTCTTCCTCCCAAGTGCTGGGATTAAAGGCGTGCGCACCACTGCCCGGCTATTTAGTACTTTTTTTTTTGAGGCAGAGCCTGCTGAGCCTTCTGAACAGCTAGAATTAGAGGTGGCACCAAACCCGGCTGAATTTTTAAAAAGTCTCCAGTAGCTGATAGGTCTGCAAAATTTGAGAAATGTTAGCAAAAAGTTGTCTTTAAGATTAGACAAAAAGATGAAGAATTTGCTGGGCTAGTAAAGGAAGGGAATGGCATTCCAGAAAAGCCAACGGTGTTAACATGACCCAGAAGAGTAAATCGTGTTAACAAAATTTGCACGTGGGAGTTCTCAGAGTATTCTGCTTTTTTTTTATTAGTGTATGTGTGTGTGTGTGTGTGTGTGTGTTATGGGAGTGTGGTGATGATGTGTGTGTATGTGTGATGGTGTGTGTGTATGTGTGATGGTGTGTGTGTGTGTGTGTGTGTGTGTGTGCTTGGTCAAGGCACTCATGTGGAGGTCAGAGGACAATTCTTAGAGTCAATTCTTTCCTACATGTAGTGACTACCTGCTGAGCCATCTTTCTGGCTCTACTTGGAGTGGAGGGCCAGAATTCTCAGTGTAGCCAAGACTGTGGGTTCCTAGAGGAGATGGGGAAGAAGTTAGATGATGGTGGCACACTCCTTTAATACCAGTACTCAGGAGCAGAGGCAGGTAGATCTCTTTGAGTTCAAGGCTAACTTGAGAATTTCAGGCCAAAAAGCAAGGTTAGTACATTTAGAGACCTGCCCAGAGCTATGAACTTTGATTGATCAACTCTTTGTTTTAGTTTTTGGCTGAGTTACAAAACTGAATGGACTTTCATCATGGAGTCAGTTGTGCTGAGGTTTGGAGGCCTGGTGAGGTCTGTTACAGAAGGAGATAACCACAGGGCTTACTGAGGTCTG